AAGGTTTAAATGGTCAAATTCGACCATAAATACTCCAGATTTGGAGTTTTTATGGTCGAATTTGACCAAAAAACCGAACACCACTACAACACCGCCGCAACACCGCAATAAACAACGCCATAACACCGCAACTATCAAAGGGAGAGATAAAGAGATCGAGGGGAGAGAGAAAAAACGAATGGAGAGGAAGGAGAATACCAGAGAGGGAGTAAGAGGGATGGCGTGAGAGGAGGGAAACGGAGGAGAGAGAAAAGGTATGAGTGGAGAGAGATGGAGGAGAGAGAAAATGGGAAGAGAGGCTTGAGTGGAAAAGTGAGAAAGAGTAAGGCATGAGCTAGGGTAAAATTCCAATAGCCAAAAGCCATCGCTATTTATTTTATACCGATGGCTTTTACGCATCGGTAAAAAAAAATTTAATTTTTCTTTTAAAATATAATATTTTACCGATGGAAAAAAGCCATTGGAAAAAGTATATCGATAGCTTGACCATCGGTATATCTCACAATACCGACGGATTTTTCTAGCCATCAGTAAATCCCATCGGTAAATGAGCGTTTTCTTGTAGTGCGAGCTGATTTCTTGGAGAGAGCTTTAAGGGCCGTCTCGTAATGGATCTTCTGCAGGGCCAAGCTGCCGGTGTTCTTGTCTTGTATCCGGTTGATTGTGGGCTAGGCCGTCTTGATTTTCTTATTCTCTTTATCCTTCCATCCAAGAAGGCACTAAGCTTGAGGAAGAAGCATCCGGACGGAAACAACTGAGCAAAAGCAAACTAAGAAAATAATCTAAGTATGAAAGCAAAAATAAGCCAAGTGCTATTAAGAAATTCTACCTCGGCGCTACAATTAATCATTGGGCCAAGGAATCCTTCATTTATGCCGCGGAATTTATCCTGTTGCTCCTTAGGGACGGCTCGCTGCATGGCCTCCCTAATAGTTTCTGGTCAGCGCCTGTGAGCGACTGGCTAGGTTGCTTCATGTGTATCTTCTCAGGAATGTATGCACAAAGTAAGGAAGGATGTTAAAGTAATCAAGAAAGTTCATGAAAACACAAGTAAAATGGCGTACGAATGTTCAACATACAGTCCGAGAAAGATGGAGGAGATGGAAGGTTGAACAAAGGAGGGGGCAGCGGTTGATCCCCTCCCTCTTGAGTGCGGCCGAGTTGCTCTTCGGCCGACTGAGAAGCAGCTTTCTGCCAATAAGATTTGTCTACCACCTCAACATGCGAAGTCGAGGCCGAGTTACTGGTCGTTTTTGCCGGGGACGACTTACCCCCATTGTCCGCATGGACGGACTCATCGTGGATCCACCTCAGTTTGCTGGTCGTTTTTGCCGGGGACGACTTACCCCCATTGTGCGCATGGACGGACTCATCGTGGACCACCTCAGTTTGCGAATCCACGGGCTTGGAGACCCCACTAGGTGACAGCTGGAGTGGTTCTCCTTTAGACTGCTTTGAAGTAGTCTGCGGCGTGACCTTAGCCGCCTTGGTGGAACACTTAGCCTTTGTGGTTGTTGTCTTATTGGCTTTGGACGACTGGTCGTCCTTAGAAGCAGAAGACGGCCACTTTCTCTTCGACCAGGGAGTAGGAGCTGCCGCCTGAAAGAAACGAGTTAAAGTCAAATAAAATGAAGCAAGCGTCCGAGCATAGTTGAGAAGGAACCTCTTCCCAACCTACCAACTCGGCATGAAGGCAAGACAAAGTGCGTCCGAGTGAATGAGGAAGAATTCTCCTTCCAACACACCAGCTCGGCAAAAAAAACAAAAAAAAAATAAAATAAAAGAAAAGAACATATTGTCATTACCTCCTTAGCCTGGTCGTGCTGCTGTTGGCGGAGTTTGTACCGCATTATGTCCAGCTCCGACATGTCAACCTCCCCCTTCTGCTTAGGATCCAGCATTCCAAGAGCTACGTCTGAGGAGAGAAAAAGAAGAGAAGAAGTGTTAGAATATTTTCATATTACAAATAACATTCGGATGACTAAGTCACAAGGCTCCACCTTGAGGGTAGTTCTTGTATTGGCCACAGACCGACATGAATACCGGGTTCCTAAGCCATGCGACCAGCGGGATCCAATTGAGCGGCACAACCACCGTCTTTTAATCCCTGACTACCTTCCTGACTCCGAAGTAGTCCAGTTGGCGCATGTAATCAAGATGGACAGGCGGCTTGCTGGGTCTGTGCTACCCGTGGCCGAGCTGAATCGGGTCGGCATTGAACTGATTCATCCGCAAATTAAACTCTTCTTTACTTATCTTAATGCGGTAGAATCGGTGCTTCCAGTCTCGCCACTTGGATGACCTACCCATCACCACCATATAATCATTCTGGGTGCTCAAAATAAACCAGTCGTCCGTGCCACCATCAAGGCAAACCACAGAATGCATCTCACAAAAAACTGGGACATCTGGCTTGAAGCCTTGCCAAAGGAACATCACCAGATAGCCAAAAATGTTTAACCAGCTGTTCGGCACCAGCTTGAAAATTGCAATACAATACTCGTCCAGGAGCTCTTGGACGAACGGATGAAAAGGGAAGCGAAGGCCCACTTCCAAGGTAGCGTGGTAGACACTGAAGCATTTCTCCCGCTGCCTCTTGCTTTCCTAGGCGGCCACTAAGTAAGAGCGAGTGGGCGCTACGATTTCGTAGCCTTCTCCCTAGTGGAGGAACTCCTTGAGCTCCTCAAACTTTAAGTGCATGAAGGTCAAGGCAGTGTTGCCAACCGTACAGGCATACGGGTGCTTGAAATTATTAGCATTTGGCTCCTCAACCGCCTAATTGGAGTCCGGGCTCTCAACCTCTCCTCCGGCATCTTGGGGAGAGGCCCCAAATTTAGAGGACAACACTATGTCCAGTTCAGCAGCCTCAGCCGAGCTCCCTCCCTTGGAGCCCTGTAACAATGGTGCCTTCAAGCACCAAGGGCTTTTTGCCCTTATCTTTCCTTCCCATAGCGTCCGCTTGGTTTCCTAAAGGAAAAGCGTTGCGAGGGGGCAAGTCAGCCGGCTCAACAATATGAATGCCAATCCTAGGCCTAGCCGACCTGGTAGTTTGGATTGAGGGTTGTTGCGAATTTTGGACGGACGCCCCAGCGTCCGCTTAAAAAGAGGAAGGATGCCTTCCAGAAAATGGCAGCTCAGACGGCATCAAGGCCGAGCTAGTAAATTGCGAGGGGGGTGGTTCCCGATTTTGCCCGGACGCCTCCCTTAAAGAAGAAGTGCCTTGCTGATTTTGGCATTCTTCAAAGGAGGTCGTCACCTTAACCGCGGAGCATGCACTACCACTAACAGTGGTTGTGTTCGTGGTCTCCCGATCGTATTGCTCGGATCGTAGGGGACTAGGGGGTCCACTATACTCCCATCAGGGTTTCTAGGGACGTCTCGTTTGTACGTTTGCCTCGTACGAGCCATGCTCGACTGCAGGGACAGAGAAGAATAGGTGGGGGTGAGTTGGTACGCACTAGAAATGGACCCACTCCATAGAGAGGAGGACTCGTCCTTGTCCACTCTAGACTCCTTAGTCCCAGGAGAACGGTCGGCCTCATAAGGAGAAATGGACGAAGCCGAGTGTTATGCCAATTCGTATTTATAAAAATAAAACAAGCAAAGAAAAAAGGAAGAACTGAGGATGAGCAGGCGGTTACCTCTATACGTGTAGAAAACCTTGAAGTCTTTGAAGATCTTGAGGGTTGACCAGAAAACTCAAGAACTTGACCGACAAACTCAAGGAACACGGCGGAGCTCTCGAAGATTTGGGAAGAAAATTACTTTCTCTCTCTAAAAACTCTAACTTCTCTCTAGAATACGCAAATTTCCAAAGTAACAAAATGAAGTCAAATAATTCCTATTGTTAGGCCAAATTTATGAGGGCAAAATGGTAAACCACCTTTCCCGCCCAGAAGCTCAAATGGTAACTTTTAAAAAGTTTAACCTAGAGTCTTAAATAGTTAAATTAAAAAACCGCTCCGTCATTTAAGACGGGAAGATGTGCGGCCATCCTAATGGCGCGTCAAAATAGACCGGCCAGGTCAGCAGAATCCGAACGGTCATTTCAAAAATTACGGAAGACAATTATTTCACCCAAAGCCAGACGGCACGCCCCGTCCGCCTAATTTTAAGACTCAGGTCCACTAATAAAATCAGGCGGACCAATAATCAAGGCAGCTAGCCCAAATGAAAAACCCCATGGGTAGACGGACAGTACTGTCCGTCTCCTATTAGTGCTAATGCTCCATCAGCCCAAACATTCGGCCAACAGTGGACTGATAAAGATCAGGGGTGGCGGCCCGTACGGTACGAGTCACCCCCTATGAGGGGCAAATGTTTAGGGTAAAAAATACCCCCATACGTGGTCCAATCCTATAGCGACACATGGCCCAATAAAAGGGAGACACGTGTCCCTATAGGAAGAAGACACGTGTCAAAGATAGGAGAACCCTAAAGAGAGAAAAGGCCTCCTTACATCAAGAGACCCAAATCCCTAGAAAGCCACAAAACGGCACAACTATAGGACACATGTCCTAACCTAATTGCGCCGCCAATCAGAGTCCAGCCTTTTAGTGTACTAACCCTAAAGGGGCACACTTTCTCACCGCTATAAATACCCCAATCATTTATGATGGGGGGTGGATTAAGACATCATAAAAAGAGCATTGAATAGCTCCAACTTCTCTCTACTTTCTCTCTCTACAATTATTTCGTTTTCCGGTGACTAACTTGATCGTCGGAGGCGAATATTCCGTTAACCGGAATATTTGTTGTTTTGCAGGTGACCGAGTCCATCTGGCCGAGTTCAAGACCTATATCCCGAGAGTTTCCAAAAAGCCCCAAAACAGTACTCATAACTAGTGTAATAATGTGTACACGTTCAAATGGGACAAAGACATAAAGCAAATGATTCCGTCGTTGCATATCTATTGCTTTTTCCCTACATACATATTTTAGTTTTCTTATAAATCGACCTTCTTCCTCATCCTCTTTCATTTCAAGGCAGAAATATTCCTATATGTTTATATTTCAATCTTCTATATATAACTTTCCTTTTAAAGAAACATTTTATTTTCCACTTTTATGGGAAAAACTAATATAAACTTGCAATAATATCTTCTTCATTGAAACATCCAACAAAATGTCTAAGAAATGGGTTATTTCCCTTCTCATATTTCTGATATTTTTCAATGATATATCATATGTTTCAGCATCTCCTCCTGCAAGTAAGTTAACTCTTTTACAATTTTAAAATTCCTTAATAAATAAACAATTTTTTTTTCCTACTTAAATTTTTTGCCTTTTATTTTTTATGTTGTCAGGAATAGTAGCTGGTATAGTCACTAATGTGGTGTCTACTGTCTTCAAATGGCTTTGGTCTCTAAGAACTCCAGTCATTAAGCCAGAGAAAGGTTAGAAATGTACTTTACGACGATTCAAATCAGTTCTATTCGGCAAATTCTGTGGTTCCTGCAGTGTTCTGATGTAATGCATCAGCAGTGCATGTTACATTATATTAGACTGATTAACTGAGGCTATGTATGCATATGGGTGTTCATTTCAGCTGTTGCGAGTCGTTCATTGATGAAATTCGAGGCTGGATATACAGTTGAGACGGTTTTCGATGGAAGTAAGGTTGGGATTGAGCCGTATTCTGTTCAGGCATCCCCAACAGGAGAGCTTCTAATGTTGGATTCTGTCAACAATAATCTTTACAAGATTTCAACACCATTGTCTCGATGTAAGTCTTGATTGATTTTAGATTAGCATTTGTATATTGAAAACTATTATCATAATTCCATGTAAATGTTAAAAGTTATTGTGTGATTTCTTCATTATAAATCATATTCCTAATTCAAATGGACTAAGAGTTTATGAGTAATGCTCTGTAATATAATTAAATTAATTAATATGCATCTCATGCATGCTTTAAAATTCAAAATACATGTATAACTACCATTTTAATAGAACGCGTAGAAAATAAAGTGATTTTAGGTATTTTAAGTGGACATTAAACTTCTCAAGAATTGGCATTATTGAAATAACACAACAATTATATATTTCCACGACAATAGCCCAAGTTATTTTTTTAATCCAATACTTTTTGCAAGCTCGGACAATAATTGGTGTAATGAGTTTGAAGTATATTAGTAGCTTGTTCAAGGGCTAAAGTTGAAACTTGTGTTGTAGTTTATCCTGGATTCTCTTTATTTGAGGCAATTAGTTTTCAAGAGGATTTGCATTTGTCTTGACCAACTTTAAGATGATAATGTCGGGTTACTTACTTTAGTTTGGAAGAAGACTCTTCTTTAATTTGTAAAAGTACAATAAATAACATATCTTGGGAATTTTTGCTATCATTCTTTTACTTTCAAAACCAAATAGTACAAATTTTTCTTCTTTTTGTAATATTGATAAGGTTCTAACAAAAAAGAAACTCCATTTTATTGAAATGGCGATTTTCATAAATAAATTTTCTAAAAAATTTATGACTAGATCAAAATAAAAAATTCTTATGTGCTAGCCACCGCATGAGGGTTACTTCGTTAGTGTTATGGGGGTTACTCGATCAGTGTTACAAGAGTTACTCGATTAGTGTTATAAAATTTACTCGGTCAGTATTACAGAGGTTACATGGTTTGTGTTATAGGGGTTACTTTGTTCTTTTACAAGCGGCCACATAATGTGGCCAACCGTACACAAAACGCATTTTTAATTAAAATTGCTATTATACTACATGAAACAAAACAGACAAGCTACACCTAAACCGTATCAGAATCAAACATAACATGAACGATTGAATGGAACTAAAAGTTTTATCGCGATAATGTGTCACACGATCAAAGTAAATCTGAATGATCCTAATTCCTAAAGCTAAAAGGAACCTGTTCTTAAGTATCCATTCAGACCAAATGCAGGGCTTATCGCTTTAAATTTTTTTGACAAGCAACTGATGCAACAGGCAGGTCTTTTGATAATTTTACATGCAGTAGATGTTTATGAGCCTTTAGCTTGACTTACAATTTAAACCATAAATCTCTTCAGATAGCAGGCCAAAAATTATTGCAGGATCACCCGAAGGCTACACTGGGCACGTAGATGGGAAACTAAGAGATGCGAGAATGTATGGCCCCAAAGGTCTAACAGTCGATGATAGCGGAAACATCTACATTGCTGACACCATGAATATGGCCATCAGGAAAATCACTGATGCAGGTATCGATTTGTATTTTCGATAATACATACAGAAATTTCTGTAAATCTGTTTAGTAATACCTAGTAGGAATACATGATTTATTTATTTTTGGGTTATACTGGCAAAGTTGATCGATACAAGTCGTACAACATCCTTAAGCCACACTGCATAACCATTACTGAAATTTTCATCTCATACGATTCCTCGTTCAGTTCATTCAAGGTCATTGAATCCTATCTATAAAGACGATAAGGTTTTTTTGTTTTTTTTTTTTTTTTTTTTTTCAGGAATTACTACAATAGCAGGAGGGAAATGGAGCCATGGAGGAAGTCATATGGATGGAGCTAGCGAAGATGCAAAGTTTTCTGATGATTTTGACCTAGTGTATGTACGAAGTAGCTGCTCACTCCTAGTCACAGATAGAGGAAACCAAGCGATTCGTGAAATACAACTCCATGAGGCTGATTGTTCTTATGAGCAGCCACCAATTCAACACGATCAGCAGACCGAGGAAAACTTATATTTCGGTATAGCCAAGACAGTAATAACAAAAGTGTCTTCCGTCAAAAAATATAAAAAGAAAAAAAAAAACTTATAAACTGCGGCATTTCAACCATCTTTTTCAGCTCAAAACCTTGATTACATGCTTTACCTTTAAAAAAAATGCTCCCTCCAACAAACATTGGTCGTCACGTTATTCCTTCCCTTCAAGATATAACATAGTTTCATGAAAACGGTTTAGAGAAAATTCAGACCATTTGTGACTAAATAGCTTGCTAAAAATATAAAGTACGACGCCTTCTATCAAACTATTTACGAAATATCTCTTCATCATTTCAGGTGTAGTAGTCCTTGTTGCAGCTATGTTCTTTGGGTATATGTTGGCATTGCTCAAGCAGAGAGTGCAAGCCTTATTTTCAACCAAGAGACCAGTAAAAACCTCAAGACATAACTACAAACTACTGAGTCACCTACTCAAATTAAATATTTCTAATTAGTGCTTTTATGATTTTCTATTTATATGTCCAGGATCCAAGAATGCAAATAAACAGTCACGCTATTGCAGCACCGTATCAGAGACCTCCAAAATCAGTGAGGCCACCACTAATACCCCCGGAAGATGAATATGGTGAAGAGGAAGAAGGCTTATTATTCTCGTTTGGAAGGCTTATAATCAATGCCAGTTCCTCAGTGGCTGAAGTGTTTGCAGGGTTATTATTTTCGGGTTTCAGAAAGAGGAAAACACGCCATCATGATCATCTGAGACACTTCCAGCAACTAAACAGGCATCCAGATCATTCATGGCCTATGCAAACTAGTTATGGAGATGAGCCACCGGGACTAGAAAATGTAGAAACTAGGACTTCTATTATGAGAAAACCATACCCCCAACAGCAATTAAGACAAGGCCAAGGTTATTATGAAGGACGAGATGCTGATTTTCATCAGCGTCAAGGGATGATTTCTCAACAACAGGAGGAACAGCAGGAGCAGGAACAGCAGCAGAAGCCGCAACAGAGGAATGTTAAGTTGAATACAAAAGCAGCTGGTGAGAAGGGCTCTGACAAGAGTGAGATAGTATTTGGAGCAGTTCAAGAACAGGATGGAAGGCGTGAAGCAATGGTGATAAAAGCTGTTGATTATAGTGACCCTGTTTATAATCACCAAAATGTACGGCCTCGGTTGAATTACATGGGTTACTCATCATATAGCTATTCCTGATCTTAAACAAGTTACAATTTATACTATATGATTTTACAAAATTAGGAGAAAAGTTTTGGTGCACTTCTCGGTACAGCTATGAGAAGATCATATATTACGTAGTATAGTACTGTTGTGTGTTGTCTAAGTTTTGTATGGAGAAAGATTACAAGCTTTATGAGCAGAAGACTCTTTTCAGTATAAACTTGCTACATCAACTCTTCTATTATCTTTAGTGCCCATGTATGCAACTTGATATATCTGACATGAGTGTGGACGATGATACAAATTACAGTACATATAATACATATTTTTAGAAATTAAGGAGTAAGGTTTTGATGTTCTTGTCATAGCTAATACAAGGTCAAGTAGTGTATTCTACAAATTGGACTTGAGATAAGATGTGTAGACAGAACTCCACGCACTTGTATCCAATCATGTCCACATTTACGAATCAAGGTGAGACTAACATTAGGATAAGTTCCACTACCCAACATACATACCAGTGTCTGAGTAAACATTAAGGGCATGCTTAGTAAGAGTGTTTTTTTGGTTCTAAAACAGATTCAGTTGAACCATTATTTTTTTTTAAAGATCCGTTAAACCATTATTGTTACCAAGTATTTGGTTAGAAATTTTGGATAAGAAATACCATTTCCTAAAGGTAATAGTTTCCACCTATTTGTTACCTCTCTAAAATCTAAAGTAACAATTACCCTTACCTTCCTCAAACAAAAAGAAAGGGAGTTAGGTTTACGTTTTTTTCATGGTTAAATCAAACAAATGAAAAGGTAAGGGGTTAAATAATTCCTTTCCCCCTATGTTCCTTTTCACCCCATTTCCAATATTGATACCAAACACGTCCCAAGTATAAATGAAACAATTAGAGTATTATAAATCAAAATGCGAGACCTTGATAAAGAGAAGGCCCAGAGGGAAAGAATATAATTGATTAAGACGGTTGTGAATAGCTTGGGTCACAAAGAGGTTAGATTGATAGAATCCATAGAAAAAAGCTGCTAAGAAAATTAGGTGAATCTCTGCTAAATATGGTACTAATAGAATAGACGGACAAAGCAAATGAATCTAGTGGATGGCAGCATACAGGGAGGCAAGCTCAATAACTAAATTTCTACCTGCAACCTGAATTATATATCAAATTGTATTCTTAATTTCTTATCATATAGAACTTACGAAATGTAGCTCATAATGACATTACCATTTTTAATTTCAACTGTATCAAGCACTTCCACAAATGCTGTCATCAATGTTTTTTAACAGAGAGGCATTTAGGTCGCCTGTCGACTCTAACTTACTGACATTACCAGAAGCAAGATCATCATTTTCTTTGGCTTGTCCCCAAATGACCGAGTAAAATCCAGCAGTAATTGCAACTGATCCAATGACACTGCACACCACATAATTACACCTCAGGAATCAGCTTTATATTATAATCATATAATATTATATAAGCCTGAAAGCCTTTGTATAACATTGCAACAAAATATTTCAGCCAACAATGATCTTTTTTTTAAAAAAAAAAAATCAGTCTTGTTTTAAGATTTTACAAAAGGAATTCGTTTTTGTCTTGGTTTTAACAACAAAATCTGAATTTAAATTAATAATAATCCTTCATTTTTATTTTTATTTTTTTTCATCTAGCTGAACTTTCTCATAAGGTATTTCTCTCCTTTACCCCCTTGCCCCACCAAAAGGATCATAAAGGAAGAGAGAAAATGGATCCGCAAATTTTCCGAGGCATCTGTGTCAATTGTTAATAGAAATATAAATATAAGAAAATTAAAGGGAATAGTAATTATACATACCTTCCAAGATAGAGGTTATCCCCTAGAAACAACAACCCCATGATCATTGCAATGACAATGGCTAAAGGCTTGTAAGAAACTACATAGACAGGTCCCTTTTCACGTAGGCACCATGTAATGACAGTATTGCGAAAAACAGTGGTTGTTACTGCCTACAATCAACAAATGATTATAAGATTGATGATTGGAAAGAATCAATCAAGTCATGAATATAATGATAAAAATTATTTAAAAAAAATTTCTTACTGCATAGATTATAGCAATGATCTCAATCCTATGATGCAATATCCATTTATTTGGGTCACTCTCCACAAAGACAGAAACAGCAGCAGATTGCACAGTCCCAAATAAACTGTAGAAGAAGACTAGAGTCAGCTCATCTGGGCATTCCTTGGCAGTAGCTGTCTGAAAAAAACAAAAAAAAAAAAAAGGTAAATTAGTGTAAAAGTCAGTTCCATGTAGCAGAATGTCAGAATTGAACCTTATACTTCATTTTTTTTTTTTAATTGCACCATTTGGGATTTTACATTATTCACACAACCATGTGGGATCTTGTTAGATTTGTTTTGACGTCTACTTTTCAAATATCAAATTATTATAATTCTTACTTAAGTATAATTTAATATATTAATGGCCAAAGTCTACTTTTGGTTCATGTAGTCGACCTCACTTATGGCATTAAGGCTTTGATTGATTGATTGATTGAATGGCCAAAGTATTGCATCAGCATACGTGAAATGGCAAATGGTGCAATTAAAAAAAACAGAGGAAGTATATATATATAGTGTTGTGATTCTGAATGTGCTATTAAGAATAACCAAAATCCATGAAATGGCATTGATAGAGTGAAAAGACAATATTGACCTGAAGAATGTTGCCTGTTGATGACAATAGAGAAGTAATTGCCAAAAGAAGGCCACCAAGAGTCCAATTTAATGGCATTGCAAGAAGCTTATTAGATGCAGCATCAGGAGTTTGAGTTATCAATGGAGGCCCTTTGTAGAGAGTTACCACCATTGCTCCTGATATTGCAACAATCGTGCCTAAGCATTTTGCTTGGCTGCTGAGATTCCTCAAGTCAAGCTTCTCCATCCTTCACAATTGTTGTGTAATTAAACTTATAAGCTTTCTCCTCCATCAGGAGAAACACATGCATAATTTCATGCAGATAAACTATCAAAATCTTACCCAGAAATGAAAGTTGGCTTCAAGAACCATGCTTAAACAGGCAAACTGAAAGTAAGAGTAAAGTTTTAAGTGATGAAGTTATAAATCCCAGTCTTTCTCTATAATTTTACAACATTCTTTCACAATTTCAACCTGTTTTCCTTCTACTACTACTGCTGCTGCTGCTGCTGCTTAATTAAGGTCCCCGAAAAACGAGCTTGAGAGAACGTCTGTGAGCATTAAACTCAACGTGGGAGATGGACTCCAAAGCGTCCAGGGATGGTTAGGGACACAATAACAGATCAAAGACAAAGCAATGTGGCTGCACAATACTTTGATTTGTACCCATCATGCACTACATCAAGCAGCACCATGCAAACAGTGCAGTTGTTTCATGTTTCTTTGGGCTGCTTAACTTTTGTTTAACTTCCTAGTAGCATTAGCTGCTTCAATTGGTTTTTTGAGTCATTAATGGCTCTCAAAGATGTTAGTATGTATGCATAATAGATAACTTTGGCAAAACAGCCGAAAGCCAATCAGAATAAGCTACCCCATGCAACTTTATCATTTTGGCTTAGAAGCTGAAAAACTTTACACCAAACATGATTCATGGCTACTTGATCGCATGGAACTCCCACATCCAAATTTAGCACAACTATTCAATTTGTGAAGATTCAATGATAGTAGTTTGTGAAAATTAGTAGTGTGGTTTTCGAGCACTTATAGGTTAGGACTTAGGACCACAGATGATTTGGTAGTTTAGACTTTAGAGAGTAGAGACCATTTGATAATATTTCCTCCCATGTGGTTTTCCATTGTCAATCTTCCTTCTATGAACCTTCAACACTCTCCATGTGACACGAATAAGTAATAAACAACCAAATAGCCATAATTTTTGTCCTCATGTTTGCAAGTATTCCTAATACATCACTTTTATGAAATTATTGAACAAATCAAGATAACTAAAATTAAACCCTCTTTGAAAATATAACAGAATCATTTACAAAAAGATACAAACCCCAAATTTGTTTATGAATCATATATCAGTGTTAATTTGTGAAACATCTTATTCAGCACAAACAGAAGCAAAATTCGACCTCACTTCTTCATCAAATGAAATCCGACTCTAACATGTACCCTGTCATTTTCTTCAAGTTGATCTATATGAAAGTAGCAACAATAAGCATCCAAATTTTTATAGCAATCCTTACCTCAAAATGACAGCTAAGATGAATGTGAAAACCGGAATAAGATTGCCAATAGCTGCTGCTAGAGTTGGAGAGCTATAGTTGATGCCAGTGTAGGCACATATCTGCAACAAACAAATCCTGCCATAAATTAGACAAAATCAAAAACCCCATTATCAACAAAAAAAAGCAGATAATTCTCTAACTAAATTTTCAAACATCCAAATTAAAATATAAAATCAAAAACAGCAACTAAATGTTACTCGTACTTTTTTATTAGCTACTTGCAACGCTTTGAATTTTGCACTATCCGCATACTTTTATTTCTACTTTGTACATAATTAGAAAACATATTCACGTGAGATTTTTTTAGATTTATTCTCTTTAAATATTCTAAAAATATCAACCTTCTATACTCCTCCTTCCCAAATACATCAATGGCACGTAAAATATAAGTGATTTTTTCCGTTTAATTTTCTATGTACAACTTTAAACGCGGCTAGTGCTATATTAATTCAAAGATTCAAGATCCATCCGTACATATGGGGAAATCTCACAAGAAGAAACATGATTTACCCAATGTAAATTTGTTTGAAATAATAAATCCAGAATGCCCTCAAAATTATGTTTTTTCAATAAAAAGTCTCATTTCTTGACCATCAATCTTTTGAATTTATTTTTTAATAACTAAACCCCACTTTTTTTTAATCTTTTTTTTAAATAATTTTCACCCTTAATCATCCAAACCCTTTTTTTTTTTTTAATTCATTCATTTTATTCCACTCAATCTCATTAAAAAGACAAATTGAAATTTTATCTAAGGTCAGAGGGATATTTGTTAAAGAAAACTAACCCAATCAATCCAAGAAGAAAGAATTTATAAAGGAGTGAAAATGTGATGCGAACTCCGTTCCCTCTGCAAAAACCAAGAAATTGATAAATTAACAAAATCAATCATACCAAAAAATAATCATGAAAAATTAACAATAAAAATACACTTAAACAATCAGGAAACTAATTAATCAAAAAAAAATTAAGAACCTGAAAATGTTATAGAGAAAAACAGGCAGAAGAATAACGGTACCAAGAGCATTGTAATAAACAATGAAAACAAAGTTGCTCATTCCTTTGACCATTGCTGCTTTACTAAGTGTTGATAATCCAACTTCAACACATTCCACTATTATCATCACCATAAATGGGGCTGCCCCCATTACCATTGACATCCAACTCATTTTTTATATTTTTGAGGGAGAAAAGAAGATTGAAAAATAATTACATAAATAAAAAGGGAATTTTTTTGGTGCTGATTTTGTGAATTTTCAGATGACAATTTTTTTGGAGTTGACTGTGAAAGAGATGGAAATGAGAAATCTGATGGAGTTGAAAGAGAGTAAGAGATTCTAGAGGTGTGGGGCCATGAGGGTGGGGTCATGATCTGTCTGTTAATGTATGGGACATTATTTTTTTGTGGTAGAGGAGTGTTTTTAGTTGATTTCTAACCTTATTAGTAAAGCTGTCATCCTTAATCAAGTTGAGTTTGTGTTTGGATTGGTTCATGTTATGAGTCACTTAAGAATTGACACTTAACATTTTCATTGGATGGTTAAAGATGTTTAGTTTATTTGATATTGTGACCAATTTAGATGACTTTTTTTTTCTTTTTTGTGTAACAAGGAGAACGACTTTGATCTGAGCTTAAATCTTATGGTTATTTTTGTACTCCCTCCATTCATAATAATTGTAATACTTT